CAGGCTGGTCTTTTTTTTTTTTTTTTGAGACAGAGTCTCACTTTGTTGTTCAGGCTACAGTGAGTGCTGTGGCATCAGCCTAGCTCACAGTAACCTCAAACTCCTGGGCTCAAGAGATCCTACTGCCTCAGCCTGCCAAGTAGCTGGGACTACAGGCATGTGCCACCATGCCCGGCTAATTTTTTCTATATATATTAGTTGGCCAATTAATTTCTTTCTATTTATAATAGTGACAGGGGTCTCACCCTTGCTCAGGCTGGTTTTGAACTCCTGACCTCGAGCAATCCACCCGCCTCGGCCTCCCAGAGTGTTAGAATTACAGGTGTGAGCCACCACACCCGGCCACCAGACTGGTCTTGAACTCTGGGCCTCAAGCTATCCAAAGTTCTGGGATTATAGGCGTGAGCCACCGTGTGTGGCCTTAATAAGAATTCAAATAGGGAAATGACTTGGTTAGAATTACATATTCAAAAGGCCTTTGTAGCCACTTGAAGAATAAACTGAGGCAGAGGAAGCTATTGCAGGACATAAGAAGCTAGATGGACCTGAGAGTTATTGGCAGGTTAAATAATCAGGAATTAGTGATCGATTGATTATGGGCAGGATGTGAAAGAAAAGAATCCAGGATGACTCTTAGATTTCTGGATTGTGCAAATATGTGAGTGATGTTTCAGTCAGGGAAATAGTGAATGTAGAAGGAGCAGTCTGGGTTGGTAGTATGTGAATGTAGGTGAAGTGAGATGATAAGTTCTGTTTAGGGCAGTGTCAGCTTGCAGTATCTTTGACTTTTTGGTAGAGATGTCCATACACACACAAACATACACAAACATCTTCATATTTAAGGACCCAGACTTGGGTTCAAATCCCAGCTCTGCTACTTCCTATCTGTGTGACCTTGGGCAGGTGGCTTAATGTTTCTAAGTCACAGTTTTTATAGTTGTAAAAAGGTGATAATAGTACTTAACTCATAGGGTTGTTTGTGAATTAAATGATTTAATTGATGAAAGTGTAACAGAGTGTCTAATGTACAATAACTCAATAAATAAAGTTGTTATTCTAGATATTAGGGGTGCCAGCATCTTGTTTGGTGTCATGGAATGGATGAGATTCATTAGAAAGATGAGAATGAGAAGAGAGGGGGCCAAATATGGACTACTGGGGACTGTCAACAGTTGAACCCCAGAAGTATCTCAGAGAACAGACACCTAGGTCATAGGCCACATGGTGCTTATGTTCTATAGGAGAGACAGATATTCATTGAAAAGTTAAAACTATCATCTAGTGATAAGTGCTTTAGAGAAGATGAGACAGGATAAAATGCTAGAGAGTTCCTAGGAGTCTATTTTAGATTGGATGGTAGGGAAGGCCTCTATGAGGAGGATATAGTTAAGATGATATAATCAGTAATAGCCAGCCATGTGAAGATTGGACAGAAGGACATTCTCTGTAGTGCAAAGGCCCCAGGGTGAGAATAAGCAGTGGGTGTATGCAAAGAACACTAAGAAGGCCAGTGGGACTCAAGATAGGGCAGTGAGAAAATCGATGAGCTGAGACCAGAGAGTATATATAGTGACCAAGCCACATAGGGCCTGCTAAGTCAGGATAAGGAGTTTGGATTTATTCTAGGCAACTTGGAAAGCCCCTAGAAAGCTTTAGGTAGGAAAGTAGTATATTCTGATTTACATTTAAAAGAGATCACTGTGATCACAAGAGCCAAGAATGAGGTAGGAAGACTAGAAACAGGAGGCTAATGAAACAGTCTAGACGAGAGATGCTTTATTTCGATTTCTCTTTTCTTTTTATTATTAGGTGCTTAGTTGCTTGGAAGCCTCAAAGCTGTCCTTGAACTGATCCCCTTCAGGAGAGTTGTCTTGATAATTGAGATGCTCCAGGTGTGGAGCATTGATTACCTACTGAGTGTCCTTAACCTGTTCTTAACCCAGGGGTGCCTGAATGGGGTTCTAAGACTATGAGCTTTTGTTCAGTTACTATCTTCTGGGGAGAGTTCGTAGCTTCCCTGCAGGTTATCAGAGGGATTTGTGACCTCCAAAAGGGTAACCATGGATAGAGTGATGAGCCCTGTGGGAAGTGTCACAGGAATTAGAGAAAGCAAGAGAACTGGTGGTAGCTCTAGTTAAGGAGAGACGGAAAACATAAAGTTAGACACAATTCAGAAAAATGAATGAAACCAAGGGCAGTCAGGCCTGATCATATGGCACTTGGGGCAAATATTAAAAGATAAGAAAATCTTTTTCCTTCAGTTTCCTTTCTCCACATTTTAACTGTAAGTCTGGAAACCCAAGTTTTGCTCACAGTCAATGTTCATAAAAGCCACAAGATGGCGAGGTTGCTCCTTAAAATGAATGTGAGTGACAAAGTGGAAGATGGAGGAGAGCAGAGGGTGTTTCTCTCTGATTTTCTGTAACTTCCTTAATTTTCCTTGCTATCTTACTTGAATATAAAATAGAACCGATATGCTTAACTTATTTCTCTTTAATTTAGATTTTGATCATAGTTGTTTTTGGAATTGTAAAGCTAAAAATAAAATTAAAAAGAACTAGCTGGATCCCATGCTTACTATTTTTCAGCTCTTCATTAAATTATTAATAATTTCATTCTGCACATTGCCTACAGAGTAATCTTAGCAAAATACCATTTTGATGCCTGTTCCCTGTTTTAAAATTTTGTTTACTTATCATCATAAACAGTTGTCGATAGTACTGGTAGTCAGTGTTCAAATATTTAAGGTAAGTGTAAAGTGTGAAAAGGTGGAATAATTTTTGACATACTGTATATATTTATAAAATTATTATTGTCAGATTTTTTTTTTTTTTTTTTTGAGACAGAGTCTCACTCTGTTGCCGAGGCTAGAGTGCTGTGGCGTCAGCCTAGCTCACAGAAACCTCAAACTCCTGGGCTCAAGGAATCCTCCTGCCTCAGCCTTCCGAGTAGTTGGGACTACAGGCATGCGCCACCATGCCCGGCTAATTTTTTCTATATATTTTTAGTTGGCCAATTAATTTCTTTCTATTTTTTAGTAGAGATGGGGTCTTGCTCTTGCTCAGGCTGGTTTTGAACTCCTGAGCTCAAATGATCTGCCCCCCTTGGCCTCCCAGAGTGTTAGGATTACAGGCATGAGCCACCATGCCCAGTCTATTATCATATTCTTTTCTACAATAAACAAATGCAAGTTCAATTTTTATGGGTTATTAAACAATAAATATAATTTCAATGCTTAGAATATCTATTCTCATCATTTAGGCATACCTCAGGGCAGTTTTCTTTTTGTTATTCTCAATATTTTTGTGGCAAAGGTTAGCTAATATATTATTAATGCATTGATTAATGCATATTTAGTAACTATATATATTTAGTTTTAAAAGTAAAATGCACTTTACTTATGCTGTCTTATCAAATTAAATCTTCCTAAGAAATCTGTGATATAAATGTGAATAGTGCCATTTTACAGATGAAGACATTGAGGCTCAGGTAGATTAAATCAATTGTTAAAGACTTAATGGTTGGCTAATGGGCTTATTATATAGTCTATCTATTTTTATTTTTTTGAAATTTTCCATAAAACATAAGGAGGGACATGTTTTGACACCTTTTCTGTCATCAATAATGACAAATATCACTTAATCTTGAACTACTTTAATTTCTTAATAGTAAGTGATAGTTTTATCTGTGGATTTTGTTTTACATACTTTTATTTCTGGCAAAGACCACTTCTGGTGGCAAGTGCATCTCGGTAGTTTAATTGGTGATTATCACTTCTTTAGTTTCTTTATTCATTTACATTTTAGAGATTATTTGTTTTTGAAAAAATTATTATCTTAATATAAATATTCATTTAAGTATTCATTTCTTCAATAAATGTTACTGAACATTCTTCTAGATGCTAGGTATACAACAGTGAATCAAATAAAAAAAATTTATGGAGCATACATTTTAGCAGGGAGGAGATAAAATAAATCAATAAGCAAATAACTATGTTATATATCTGCAGTAATAAGGGCTATGAAAACAAATATAACTGGGTATGGGGGATTAAAAGTGAGAAGTGAGAGTGCTTTTTTACAAAATGTTGTCAGGGAAGATCCCTCTGGTAAGGAGACATCTGAATGGAGATTTAGAAGATGCAAGGAACTGAGACGTATTGATACATGGATTGAAATGGAGGGATAGCTTTCCAGATGGCTGGATCTTTCCTTTCTTTTCCTTTCCTTTCCTGATCTTTCTAAAGCAGGGTACTCAGGGAATGACAACAAATATCAGGTGGTATGGAATGCTCTTCATTTGACCACTCTCTGGTTGATACACAGGATTTGGAGACACAGCTCCTGATATAACCTTTATAATTCAACAAGCAGCAAGGAGAGCAGGAGTAAATCATTTCTTGTGTTTTCTTTATTCTTGCATGCTGAAGGCCAAAAAGGGAAGAAATAGATCCCAAGGAGACATTGTTTTGCTTTACTCAGTATATTGTTGGATACAGAGTGAGGGTAGCAAATGCCTGTGGGGGTCTGGGGAGTAAGTTAAATGATGGGATCAGTCTGAGGGGAGTGAGGAATGGTGGAGACTGTGGCAAGTCAGAGAACATATGCCCTGTGTAAAGGGGAGAGCTGATACTTTGTTGCCATGCAAGAAGGTGGGCCTAGTTATGAATAATTTTCTGATTTTTTTTTTAAAGAAAATCCAAACATTTGCATTTTGTGTGTTATCTCCTGATTTTTGAATGTTGGCAACTAAATAAAATCATTTCAAAACACTAGGCCAAACAAAACACCCATGCAGGTGAAATCTGGCCTGCAAATCAACACTTTCTGACTTTCTGGGGGTAGAACACCATGATTAATTCTTACTGCCTTCTTGAAGGGATTGTATAGATCTACTAGTATCAAAATACTGCAAGATTTCTGGATACAAGTGGTTTTAACACACTAATTTACAATGCATACCCTGAGCAGTGCTGCATATGTCTGTTCTCATTGTTTTAGGGTATGGTCAGACGGGCCCGATGTCGCGGCGAGCTGGTTATGATGCTGTTGCCTCTGCTGTTTCTGGTCTGATGCACATCACAGGGCCTGAGGTAGGTATCCTTCTTTAGAATATTCATAATTTTTTCTGTTATATATTCTGAAGAGATTTTACTTTTCACTAACCCATAGGATTAAACTTGACTTAATTTTAGAAAGAAACCAGGGAAAGTGAATGATTTATTAAAGTAAAACAGAAGTGTTCATTACAAATGTCCTCGAGGCTAAACATCAATTTGGCCCCATGGAAAGAGCAATATTTTTAGTAAGAAGCAATAGATCAGGGGGCGAACATATTTTTCATATTTATTGTATTATTCAAGCTTAATATAGGTACCTTCATGTGATTTAGAAATATTCCTTTTTTGAAATAAAATGGCTGACTAGACAAGTCCTTAGATGTCCATTTCTACCAGAGTACCTTGATTTGCCACATATATATAGCAGAATGTATTTTTTCTTCTGGAACATAGTAAGTAGTTATGTATTTGAAAATTTGTTACTTAAAGCTTCAGGTATAGTTGTGTCTGATTTGTCATATACATTAGATTCTGGCAGTGAAATAATTATTTGATTTTATAATAATCTGTTTCCATTGAAGGTGGTATGGGAAGTTCCTAAAAAGTATATATAGATGGCCAAAATGTGGTTAGTATAATAAAAAAATTGACTCTTGGGGGAAATAATATAAATAACATTAAATAAAGTTTTTAAAAAAGTGTGAAAGCCTAAGCCTCATAAATAAAAATACTAAGAGACATCCATTTCAAAATAAACTGAATTGATAGGCTTAAAAATTTGTTCCAGTAGGTGTTCCTTCCCTGAATTGCTTTCTTTAGTTAATTCTTCAGGAAATACTGCTGCAATGTTGGGATAAACTGAGACAGAGTGACTCTCTTTTGCAGTCTTCTTTGTATTAGTTTCAAAGCAGCTGTTGGAGTTTTATGTTTTGAAATATAAGGTCTTTTATATTTTTATCCTATATTGTTTTATTTTCAGAAAAAATGTTTGTGGCCTTTCCTTCAAATATTCAAGGGTACTGTTTTTCTTTCTATTCATTGAGAGAATGGAACATGAACATATCCCATAGACTGTCATATGGCCAAGACATTGTTACTGTGAGTACTGTCATTGAAGGCCACTGTACTCCTTGGGAATATGTGAAAAGATATGGGATTTTCGAATGCGTATATTCAAATGCTAAAATGAATTAAATTAAAAATAGCGAGGGTGGCAGATTACTGTAGTTCCTTTAGGACCCTGTACTACATTCTGACAGGCCTAACCACACAGCGTGTGCTCAACCTTATAATTTATGTCAATAACAGTCTTAATCTTTTGTGTTTTCCTACTTGAATGATTTTTGTTCTAAACAAATAAAAACAGCATTTATTGAGTGCTTACTATGTGCCAAACATTGCTTTATATACTTTACATGTATTAAATTAAGTAAACTTAACACCTATGTACTGTATCTCTTTCACATGGACACATCTCTCGCCCCCTAATTAAGTCATGCACCAATCCATTGAATAGTTATTGCATGTATTTCCTATTACATGATGGGAACTGTGGTAGGCACTGGAGATTATGCAGACAACAGGACAGGCACAGTCCTTGCCCTCCTGAAGCTATCAAATGGGGGAAAAATATTAACAGAAAATATTCATTACATACAAATAAGAAGAACTTGGAAGAAGAGTACAGGGCACTTTTCTATAGCTAAAGCTGTTAATGTATATAATAGTGTGCTTCAGATCATTATTATACTTCTAAAGATCTCCACAAAATGTGGTTTGACAGTAAAGGACAAAAGCAGATGTAAGAGAACAGGCCATGCTGTGAGTCCCCCTTAAGACAGTTGTTTTTATTTATCTTACTAGCAATATATTATAGTTCCCTAAGCCTCTCAGCAGAGTTTGCACAGGAAGGATCACTTCTGAAAGCTCTGGCTAATATTTTCCACTAGCCAATGAATACGTACTATTGCCAATAATATCCATTGCATATGGACTTTCTCTAAGTGCCCAGCCGCATATCTGTGCTGTAGCGTGACTCTGTGTTGCCAGATGACTGATTGGGACCCAGCTTCTGTATCCTTAGGAGGCTTTACTGCATGACCCTACACAGTGGAGCCTAACTTTGCCAGAATGATCAGGGAAGCCTTCTCTGAGGGCCAGATATCTAAGGTGGGACCTGGTTAAGCATTAGCCAGTGATCAGAGAGCAACATCTATCAGGGGTCCTCAAACTTTTTAAACAGGGGGCCAGTTCCCTGTCCCACAGGGCCATTGGAAAGTGCGGCACACATTCCACACATGCGCACTGTGGGTCCGGGAGGAGTCGGCTGCTAAGCAGGACAGGCAGCGGTGGCAAAAACACTCCAGAGCCAGATAAATGTCCTCAGGGGGCCGCATGTGGCCAGCGGGCCGTAGTTTGAGGACCCCTGATTGTTGGAGATTGTGTTAGGTTTGTGGAGCCAAAAGAAGGGCAGTATCATTGGTTATTGTAAACTAGCAAAGAAGGGTCAAAAATGAGAATGGAGGCCGGGTGCGGTGGCTCACGCCTGTAATCCTAGCTCTCTGGGAGGCCGAGCCGGGCGGATCGTTTGAGTTCAGGAGTTCGAAACCAACCTGAGCAAGAGCGAGACCCCGTCTCTACTATAAATAGGAAGAAATTAATTGGCCAACTAATATATACAGAAAAGAATTAGCCGGGCATGGTGGCGCATGCCTGTAGTCCCAGCTACTCGGGAGGCTGAGGCAGTAGGATTGCTTGAGCCCAGGAGTTTGAGGTTGTTGTGAGCTAGGCTGATGCCATGGCACTCACTCTAGCCTGGGCAACAAAGCGAGACTCTGTCTCAAAAAAAAAAAAAAAAATGAGAATGGAGAGATAGGAGCAGTGGCTGAACTTATTGTTTGTGGACTTATTATATTACTTAGTAGTTTGAAGAGAAGACACATTAGTATATATAAACATATTTTTGGTGATCCCATGTATTTGAGCCTGGAAATCGAATGATGCTCCAAAGGTACAGGTTAGTATTACAATGAAAAAACTCAAAATGCATGTTTTTTTCTATAGTGGCGTAATCATATTTTTATCTAAAAGGGGGAATATCAAAATGTATAATATAGGTTAAAATTTATGAAAACAATCTTCATAATGAGATTAAAATCAAACTACTTACAGTTGACTGACACTAAATCTAAACTCTAGCCTTTTAAGGTATGCTGTGGTGTTGTCAGATAAAATTCACATTTGATTATGGAGAGGAAGAGATATGATTTTGAGTACCTACACTGTGCTAGGCCCATGCTAGATGTTTTACATATGATATTATCTCTTTTTATCCTCACATTGATATATCCAGGTGTAGGTATTGATAAGTTGTATAACTGAAGGTTAAAGCCTTAAATAACCTGTCCAGAATGCCCAGGTATGTAAAGTGCTAAAGCCAGGCTTTGAACCCAAGTTTGCTTTACTCCTATAGCCTGCACTCTTTCCTCACTTTTTATGGTGCCTGCAGAGTGAATCCTGATGCCTATTTTATTTACATCTTGCTTCTGCATGCCACTTGGTATGTTACAGTGTAGTGAACAGACCATTTGGAATAGTGAGAAAGCATTCAACTAAGAGTCTAGGGCCCTGGCTCTAAATCACTCCTGTGTAATATTGACAGACTGCCTAAATAGGCCTCAGTAGAATATAAGCCTCGTAAGAATGACCGTGGTCTTTGCTTTGGTCATTGCTGTATGTCTATGAGTAGAACAGAGCCTTGGTAAACACTCAATAAATAGATGTTGAGTGAATGAACAAATGAATACCTGGCACTATGTGACATGATCGTGAACATATCATATAGCTTTCTGTGTTTCAGTGAAGGAAGTGTTTCATATGGAAGTGAAGCTCACATACCTCTTCTATGAGATATTATAAAGAGCAAATAGAATGTCGTTTATAAAATATAAAAGTATGACATTGTTTATAATGTAAGGTAGGACACATAAGAATCAGCAGTTGCTTAGTATATCTGCAGGTTCCTGAACTCTGCCCTCAGAGTTACTGATTTGTAGGTAGAGTCCACAAGTATGCATGTTTAGTGATGGGTCAACTGCTTCTGATAGGGATGGACTGTGGACCACACTTGGGAGTAGCTATGGGAGGTATTATTATTAAAACCCTTTTTCCTTTGGAAGTAACTGATATTCTTCCATACACTCAAACAGAAGTTAGTGACTTATTAAGGTCTATATATTATACTTAATTTGTAATCTTGTACTTTGAATAAAATCATATCCCTGGCCGGGCGTGGTGGTTCATGCCTGTAATCCTAGCACTCTGAGAGCCGAGGCGGGCGGATCGTTTGAGCTCAGGAGTTCGAGACCAGCCAGAGCAAGAGCGAGACCCTGTCTCTACTAAAAAAAAAAAAAAAAAAAAATAGAAAGAAATTAGCTGGACAACTATAGTGATGTATAAAAAACTAGCCGGGCATGGTGGTGCATACCTGTAGTCCTAGCTACTCAGGAGGCTGAGGCAGTAGGATTGCTTGAGCCCAGGAGTTTCAGGTTGCTGTGAGCTAGGCTGGTGCCATGGCACTCAGTCTAGCTAGGGCAACAGAGTGAGATTCTGTCTCAAAAAACAACAACAAAAAATCATATTCCCTAATTTTTTCACTTTCCTGGATCTATGCTAACTAGTTATTACTCAAAAGGGAATATCTATCATTTTTTTAATGCATAGGGTATATGAAGAAATCGGGAATGAAATCAGTAAGTATGAGAGATTTTGGAAAGTAAATGACCCAGTCATATGTGACACGTGTTCTGAGTAATAATTCAACTATAATTTATGGCATGCTTAAATATCAAGAAGAACTATACTGTTAATCAGTGAACAAAGATGTATTGACTATGTGTGTATATTATGTGTGTATATTATGTACCATAATAAATTATATGTAACACTTTAGTTGACTTGATTAGATGTATACTCATAGAAAAATTAGAAAATAATAGAAAAATGCATAACATTAAGTGGTATGTAAAATATAA